CCAGGGGAGTGAGGGCCCAGCATGGGGCTGGGGTCCAGGGATCCAGGAGTCTGGTAGCACGCAGAGCCCTTCTGCAGGGACAAGGAATGGAATTTACTGGCTGATGGGGGAGACGTCCAGAGGAAGGCACACACCGATGCCAAAACGCTAACGCCTCAGCACTCAGTTCCTCTGTGGAAGACGCTGCTGGTGCCTGGCCTGGACCCCTTTGTGCTCCCTCTACCCCCGGGACCCTGCCTGGAGACGTTTTTGGCTGCAGAATCACCCTCTTCCCGCAGTCAAAGAGACCTAATGGCTGCTGGTGGAGTCAGCTCCAGGCCCACTGGCCAGAGAGAGATGGATGGGCACAGCCGGAGGCTTGGGGACCACTACCAGGAGGGGGTGAGTGGAGGCCAGAGCAGAGACCACAGCTGTTCCGACACATCTGTGCACACACATCTCACTGGGCAGACAATGTACTTTGGGGTCCTTGGGTTAAGCACTGCCCCCTCCCCAGAGAAGAACAGCCACAGCAGGGGGTCCCACCAGCAGTCAGCAGTCACCCCCAGGCCGTATGGGTTTACTTATCAGGAGGCCTTAGAGCTGATGAAAAGGTGCAGAGGGACAGCCTGGAGCAGGTTCTCCCTACCTGGAGGTGGGGAGGCATCCTGAGGAGGTGTCTGCTGGAAGCAGTAACAGGGCTCAGGAGCAAGCTACATGGGACCAGCGCCTGCCACGGGCTGGCCCCCAACACCCTGGCCCTGCGGGCAGAGAGGGGAGGAATCCGGGCGTGATCTTCCAGTGTCCTCTGCACAGGACAAGGAACAGCTACGGCCAGCTCCCGAGGGGATATTAGCCCAACCAAGGGGCCGGCTTCCACCCAAACCAGAACTTCCACACCAGCTGGCAATTATGTCGGGGAGGGGAGTTTCAGCAAAAGGCTTGGCCCAGAGCCCCGAGAGTCTGTTACTGGGGGATGCTGGACCCCTGGCACCCTTGGGAGCCCCCTCTCTTCTCTCTCTGGAGACCTGGTGGGCCAGGACGAGGCTGCCTTTATGGGGCCTCTGCTCAGAGCTGTCCCTTCATCTTTGGCCTGGAAGTTTGGTTCTGCAGACCGGCCAGTAATTAAAAGTACCAATTAATCCCCAAGGTTGAGCCGGGGTTCCCAGGATGTAATGCCAACTGCCTCAGGCTGGCTTGCCAAGAGGCCCAGGCCAGGGCTGCGGACACACAGGGGACACATCGGCCTGGGGTTCATGGGCCCACATGACCCGCCCCCAAGGTCTTTCTCTTAAAGACTCTACCAACTACACACATGGCCGCCCTGACTGTCTGAGAGAAGAGCCAGGCAGGGGACGGGCAGAGGATGGGCAGGTGTCCTTCTCCGTGGTGATCTGGCCCTCAGCAGCCCCTTCACATGGACTTCCCAAGCCGGCCTAGAAGCCAACGAGTGGATGGGCTGGGGGGTGTCTCTGCACCTGGAAGAGGTTTCCCTGGAGCTCTCCAGCCCTCCACTGGCCAGGTCTCGTAGGCACGGGGGGTGCCTGGCAGCCCACACCTCCTTCTTTGCAGGTCCCCTTGGAGCCTCTGCCAGGGGTGTGGGTCTAGAAACCTGCTTACGTCAGCTTTCCCACGCCCCAGGCTGATAGTCCCGGGGCAGGTACCTGGTCCAAACTTGGCCAATCAGATCGTCTCCCTGAAACCGCAGAGCCCACAGATGAAGGTAGAGGCATGTGGACTGGGGTGGGTGGGGACAGAAAGGAAGAGCTCAGAGAAGAGGGGAGCCGGGGGTGGACTGAGAGCTGCCCCTCAGCCTGGCTCTGTTCTCAGATAACCTGTGCTCTTTGCTGCCACAGAACCTTCGCACATGCTCCCCATCCCACCATGCTCTTTCCTCTCTCTTCGATTGGTCAGAAGTGTCAGGCCCCAACTTGTCACCTCCTCAAAGCCGCCTTCCTGGATCACCCCACCACCACCACCCCCCTGCCGCCCATGGTGAATGTCTCAGCCCCTTGGTGTGTTCACTGTTGGTCCCCTCCTCAAACGCCACATCTTCTAGGCTAGGACGGTGTAGTGTGGTTCTGTGCTGTGTTGCCCAGAAAAGCCCAGCACACAGCAGGCACTTCATCAATACTGGTAAACACAGGAATTAACTGTGGCCACCACCTCCTCTGAAGGCTACGTCCTGGTGTCCACTCAGGGGCTGCCTAGCAGATGAGGATATGAATCGAGGTCAGCACTAATGGGTGGGGCCAGATAGCACATGGCAAATTTTACAGCCTTCAAGACCACGAGGGAGCTTTGGGGCACTTCTGGGTGCCACCCTCTGTGTCAGCAGCCAGCCTGAGAAAAGCCCTGGCAGGGATCTGCCTGCCCATCCCCTGGGAATGGTGGCCTGCACATATAAGACAGAAGCTGCCCACCAGGACCCCATCAGTCCCTGAGGTGGTCACTGCAACCCGGTGGAGCTGAGGGTGGGGCCTAGGACTGCACATGCCACACACTGTGACCTGGATCTGGCACTGGACTCTCCTAGCTCAGCCTCTTTTCCCCCAAGAGTCCCAGTGGTCAACTGATTGTGTCCTAGGGGACATAGCTGTGTAGTGCCCCACCATGGGTCAGTGGGGAGCGGGGAGAGGCTGCCCTGCCCAGTGTACCCAATGCAGACCGTGCTCCATTTTCCCTGGCAAAGCAAAGCTCTTCATGGAAACGCAGACCTGGTGCCCAACGGCATGCCCAGTGCAGGGAGGGGTGGGATCTGATCCCCAGGACAGGGTTGGAGGCAGGACAGTTTGGGCCGGGTCTGTCATCCGTACCTCCTTCCCCCCACTTCAATCCTGCATTTATTTGCATGGATCCCTATGGGCCAGGAAGTCCGGTGGATGCCCCTGGGGAAGCCCTCACTTGGGCCTCCCTGGTGTCCTCCGACTGCAGGGTGGGACTCCAAGAGGAGGGCAGGACCTCCGAAGGGAAGCCACCGCAGACCAGCGGGAAGGATGTTCCTGGCAGGTGACCTTGCAAAGGCAGGCAGATGACAGGAGGGGAGGCAAAGGGACAGGCCACTCTGGAGGCCAGCTCTCCCTCTGGTATCAGGGCGTCCTCCCAGCACACTGTTTCGCCTTACAGCGAGGCTCCTCATGGTGCTTTCCTGGAAGATTGGAGGTCGGGTTCCCTGACCTGGGCCAGTGGGGTAGCCCTTCCATCACCTGAAGGTGGTGGGGAACAGGGCAGCCTGGGCGCTGGCCCCTGCCTCTTAGGCCCTGTGCCAGCTGTTCCAGATGCAAGGCTGCGGGGGTCCCGGGCATCCCCGGCATCTCCCAGAGCCCACTAGACGTCTGGCAGAAACTGTCTCCAAGGCCTAACTAAGGAGTTCGCAGCCCAGGCAATGGCGCACTCAGTTGGAAACTGGCTGGAGCCCTGTCTTACATGTGGGGGCGGGGTGAGGGCAGGAGGCTCTCCCTGCGAGGTCAGAGCCTTGGAGGGAGCTCCTGGGTTGGTAAAAGCACATAGGGGAGACTCTTCAGCTTTGGTGTTTTCTGCTAACAGACCCGCCCCTTCTACTCCTTAGGCTGCCGTGGCCACTCGCCCGGGAATCCATGACTCGGAAGGAGGTGCATGGTTGGGGAACTGGGCGCCCTTGACTAGGGTCACCCGGGTCGCAAGGTCGGAGACGCGCGTGTTCTGTGTTGGCTGTCTTGGGTGGGGGGTGGGGTAGTCTGGCGAAGCTCTGGGCGGCCGGGCCGTCGCCTCTCGGCGGGTTTGCCGAAAGAATCCGAGCCGCCCTCCGGGACCGCCGGGCCCACGGCCAACTGGCGTGGGCGGCCTCGGGCGGGGACTCTGAGCCGCGGCCCGGCGCTTGCCTCCGGGTAAATGTCCCCTCTCCGACCCCGCCGCCCCCAACAGGGCGGCACACCCCGCCCCCTTCTCTCCTTGGCTGGCGCGCCCACCTCCTCCACTCCAAGCGCCCGGAGCGGCCTCCGCCTCCGCCAGACCACCCAGGACCGCCCCGGCGGACGGCCTCGGTGCCCCCAACCCCCGGGTCACGCCCGGAAGGCCCTGGACCCCCGCGTCCGGCCACGCCATCCGCCGGGCCGCCCTAGGGACTCAGCTAGGGTCAGCCCAGGCCCCGCCCAGCGCTCCCGCCCCCTTCGGCGGCCGCGGCTTCTGTGGCAGCGCCCCTGCCGCACTTTCCGCGCCCGGACGGGATCGGGGTCCTGGGATCGCCCAGCTCTGAGCCGTGGTCCCTGGGCGCGCCGTTACCTGGACGTGCGCGGCGTGCAGACTGGCGCGCGGGAGGCTCCTGCACGTCGCGCCGGCCCTGCGGGCGGGGAGCTGACCCCCCGCCCTGGGCCGCAGGCTGGCAGCAGTTGACCCCGGCGCCTCTGGGCTGTGGGCAAGACATCGGGGCTCAACGCAAGCTGTGGGGGAGGCTCTTGAGGACCCGCCTCCTTACGCAGCGGGAGGCCGAGGCTGGGTAATGGGACCGGGGCCCGGACGCACAGGAGCAGCTATGAGCCAGCAGAGGGAGCGCAGCGGAGAACCCCAGCAGGCAAAGGGCACCCCGGAGCGCCCACCTCTACCCGTCTCTGCCCCCTTTTTCCTTCCCGCCCCTCCTGGAAGGGGGGCCCTCGGCGTGCTGCACAGCCCGGGATCCGGTCCTCGGCTGCCGGGCGCGCCGGCCCCACGTGGTGCGGCGCCAGGCGGGGTGGGCGGGGGCGCAGGGGGAACTGCGGCGCTTTCTTTAAGGTGGGGGGAGGGGGCGGGGGCGGCCAAGCTCCGCCCCCAGTGGCAGTGGGGTGCGCGCCGGCCAATGGGGAGCCGGGCGGGGGGCGGAGCCTTGTGGCCAATGCTTAAAGAAACTTGTTGCGGGTAGCCCAGCGGGGACTGAGCTCCGGCGACGGCGGCGGCGGCGGCGGCGGCGGCGGCGGCGGCGGCGGCGGCAAGAGGACCGGGGTTGGGAGGCTGCGGGACGCGGGTCGGGCCACCGCGCGACGACCTCGGGTCCCAGAGAGGCTGCAGCGCAGCCGGGCATCGGACTCGGTGCACCTCCCTGGTGCGCGCTTCTCCGCGCGCGGCCCCGATGCTGGACATGAGCGAGACCCGCGCCCAGCCGCCCTGCAGCCCATCTGGCACTGCTAGCTCCATGTCGCACGTGGAGGACTCAGACTCGGACGCGCCGCCGTCGCCTGCCGGTTCCGAGGGTCTGGGCCGTGCGGCGGGCGCGGGGGGCGGCGGCCGGGGCGACGCGGCCGAGGCGGCGGACGAGCGCTTCCCCGCCTGCATCCGCGACGCCGTGTCGCAGGTGCTCAAGGGCTACGACTGGAGCCTGGTGCCCATGCCGGTGCGAGGCGGCGGCGGCGGTGCGCTCAAGGCCAAGCCGCACGTGAAGCGGCCCATGAACGCCTTCATGGTGTGGGCGCAAGCAGCGCGCCGCAAGCTGGCGGATCAGTACCCGCACCTGCACAACGCGGAACTCAGCAAGACGCTGGGCAAGCTGTGGCGGTGAGTGCACTGTCCCGAGGCCGGGGCGGGGAGCGGGTTCTGGGGTGCGTGGAGCTGGGCGGTGGCGCAGCGCCCGGCCTCGGCCCTGCTCCCAGTGGCTGTTCCCAGGGCGAGTCGTAGTGGAAAAACCCGATCTGGCCAGACGGATGGGACGCGGGGTACAGGACGGCCTGGGCACGCAGAGGGCAGCAGGAGCAGTGTGCAGCCCCTAGCACATTCCCTGAGCCCAGAAACAGCCTTCTCTAGGCAGTGGATGGCAGGCCGAGTTGGGGACCCCAGCTGTGAGTGGCCGCAGAGCCTGGAAGCTTGTCCCTCCCAGAGGAAAGTGGCCTCTTTCTGGAAGCAGAACACAACTCTCTGGAGGTGCCCCCTCCTTGGAAAGGACTCCCCGACCACCCTGTGGAGGGAGTCCAGAAGGCAGATGGAATGGTGTGTGTTTGCCCCACCAGCACCTTCGGCACCTTCCCCGCAGCTTCTCCCAATGCTCTGCCACCTCTGCACCCTCACCAGGGAAGGAAGGGGATGGAGGGGGTATTCAGCACTGGTGTGCACTTTGGTGTGATGAGGCTGGCCGTTTTGCAGAAAGTAGGACGGCAAGCAGTGGGCAGCAGTGACAAGGTTGCTGCTTGGGACAGCCCATCCCCACCAAACGCTCTCTACTGGGGTTTAAAGCTCTGGATCCAGGGTGCTGGTCTCGTTTCCTGCTCCTCACCTCATGAGTGGGAGCTCAAAGCTTGTGTTTATGTCTTCTGTGCTCCGGCCTCTGTCCAGTCAGGGTGCTGTGGACCCATGGCAGCCCCGTGCCTCTGTATCCCTAGACCCTGTCCTGCAGGCAGACATGAGCTTCTGGAAGGGTATGGGGGGCCGGTGTGTGTTCTGAGCCTTAGCGAGGACCACTGGGTTTTGCCAGTGTTTCTGGAAGTCTGGGAAGCCCAGCTGCCCACAAAGTCCCGGCTTGGTTCCCAGAAGCCTCCCTTTGTCCACAGTGTGTTCTCAGCTGGGTCCTGGCCTCTTCACCCACCTGCCATAGAAAGTCCCAAAGGGAGGGGACAGGTTCAGGGAGGGGGGAAGTCAGAGGAGGAAGATGGAAGCCGGAAGGTTTGGGTCTTATTCTGGCTTGTTCCTCTGACCTCACCTAATGCCCTCACCCCCGGCTTGATCCCTTCTGTCCTCAGAGAAGGGGAGCACCTGCCTGGGGCCCACCAGGTTGCGGGCATGCACTCGGGCTTCCCTGGTCCTACCCAGCGCCTCACCTGATGCGCGGGCCAACACCTGGGGTGGTGTCGGCCCCCTCGTCATCTTGTTCCTGCCCTTTGCCCTGCAGCTTGCTGAGTGAGAGTGAGAAGCGCCCCTTCGTGGAGGAGGCAGAGAGGCTGCGGGTCCAGCACAAGAAGGACCACCCAGATTACAAGTACCAGCCACGCCGGAGGAAGAGTGTGAAGACTGGCCAGAGCGACTCAGACTCAGGCGCCGAGCTGGGCCACCACCCGGGCGGTGCTGTCTACAAGACTGACGCCGGCCTCGGTGACGCACACCACCACGGTGACCACACAGGTGGGCTCCTGGGGGTGGGAGCAGGGGCTCACTCCCAGGGCAGGCACCCTCAAGAGAACCAAACCTTCCCCGGGTACCTGGGAAAAGGCCCCATAGCCCCAAAAGGCAGCTGTTTCCGATGCCCACGGGGGCCTGCTTAGCCCCCTCTGAGACTGAGGGCCTGATATCTTGCCCTGGTCTAGCGCACTGTGACCTGGGTGTTTTCTGTCCTTCCCAGAAGCGTTTCTGCTCCGCTGGCCTTTGTGCTGGTTCTGACCTAGGATTCACCCATGCCACCGGCCTGGTGGTTAGCAGCCCAGTTTCAGGATCAGACTGACCCGGGTGGAATCCTGGCCAGCTGAGCAGTCTTAGTCATGCTGGCTACAGCCACGGGCCTGGGGAGACAGGTTTTGTGTGGACTGTGTTGTTGCCGTGGGCGAGGGGCTGGGCACTTCCTCTCCTCCCCCCCGCCCCCAGCTTGCTGTTCACGATGGGGCCTCCCTGGCCCCAGGCCTTTCCCTAGAACAGTGCTTAACGGAATTTCCTCGGCGAGGAGTGAGGTCTAGGTCTGGCTTTGCTGGAATTTCTGGGAAATGTACAGGAACAAAAAGCCGTTGATTCCTACCTGCGGCAGTTAGCGGGGCTGGTTTTCCTCCTGTGTGCACGTCACCAGCCTGGCCGCCCCCTACAGAAGGGGCATTCATCCCTGAAATGTGCTCTGTCCCCAGGGCAGACCCATGGGCCGCCCACCCCCCCCCCCCCCCCCAAGACTGACCTGCACCACGGGGGCAAGCAGGAGCTGAAGCTGGAAGGCCGCCGCCTGGTGGACAGCGGGCGCCAGAACATCGACTTCAGCAACGTGGACATCTCTGAGCTGAGCAGTGAGGTCATCGGAAACATGGACACCTTTGACGTCCACGAGTTCGACCAGTACCTGCCCCTCAACGGCCACTCGGCCTTGCCCACAGAGCCAGGCCAGCCCGCGGCCGCCAGCTCCTATGGAGGCACCACCTACTCGCACTCCGGGGCGGCTGGCATCGGGGCGTCCCCTGTGTGGGCCCACAAGGGAGCCCCATCGGCCTCTGCGTCGCCCACTGAGGCAGGGCCCCCGAGGCCGCACATCAAGACGGAGCAGCTGAGCCCCGGCCACTACAGCGACCAGTCGCACGGCTCTCCGGGGCACACCGACTACGGCTCCTATAGCGCTCAGGCCAGTGTCACCACGGCCGCCTCCGCCGCGGCCGCCAGCTCCTTCACCAGCTCACAGTGCGACTACACCGACCTGCAGGCCCCCAACTACTATGGCCCATACCCCGGCTACCCGTCCGGCCTCTACCAGTACCCCTACTTCCACTCGCCCCGCCGACCCTACGCCTCGCCCCTGCTCGGTGGCCTCTCCGTGCCGCCCGCCCACAGCCCCCCCAGTAACTGGGAGCAGCCCGTGTACACCACCCTGACCAGACCCTGAGGGTGCGGCCGCGTGGACGGGCTGCGGCCGAGGACAACCTTGATCTCGGCAAAGATAGATAGACCTCCGAGGGCTTCCAGAAGGTGTGTGACGTGGGGAGGAGCCGCGGCTCCGTCAAGTGCCTGCTGAGGTACGCGGGAAGCCAGGCTTTGTAAACGAGTCCCCTCTGCTTCCAGACTTCCAAACTCCTGTCCATGGACAAAGCCCTCCTTCCCTTCTCGCTCTCTTTTTGCGGGGACTGCGACTCTGACGGACAGTCACTGGGTCCCTCTTCCGAGCAGACGCCAGCGTCTGGGTTTTGCACCTCAGTGTCTGCAAAGCAGCAGCCACAGCACAAAGGACAAAAGGAGGGAAGAGGTGTGGGGTCTCCAGGCCGCCCGTGTTCCAAGGTCCTGGCCACCCTTGGCGCTGAGAACTCCCCGAGACCAATGGATGACGTTCCTGAGGCTGGTCATCACCCGTCACCCACAGCCTGGCGGGGATGTGTCCGCGGGAGCACCTCTTGGGACCAGCTCATTAGACCTGAGGTGTTCCTTGTAGTTAGGGTTCTTCCGAGCAAGGTTTGGCTGTGATTAACACTTCTCTCTTTTTATTTTATTTTTTTAATTTTTATTTTTGAAGCTTCAATGTGTTTGATTTGTTTTGAAAGCTGTTAAAATGTATTTATGTTCTGTATTATTTTATCTTTAATTAATGAAGTAATCTGTGCAGAGAGCAGAATTTAAGACAAAACGGAAGCCGCAGAGCTGAGGGTGAGGGCTGGGGGTGGGGGCAGATGGGGTGGGGCCCTTGCTCCAGGCATTTGCGAGCCTGGCTGTTTGGGAGGCATCAGGCAGAGCCCCAGCTCCAGGGCCCCCAGAGGTGGCCGGAACCCCGAGGCAGGAGAAGGGATTTGTCTTGTGGTGTCTCTGATCAGGTTGAGGTGCCCCTGGCACCTGGCATTGTCAAGGTTTAGAAGGCAGGGTGTCGCTGAATTTCATTCCTGCTCACAACCGTGCCAAGTGGTGGAGGCGGGAATTTCCTGGGACGTGGTGGCTCCAGAAATGCATTAATCTCGGCTCTTAGGAACCAGGCGCCACCTACAAGCTGTGAAACTAAAACCTTCTCCACTAAGCGCTTTTAGATTCTTAGTTTTAGAAGAATAATACCTGATTTCCCTGTCCTGCTTCTGCTGTGTGCTGAGCGATGATAACCGCCTACTTCATGGAAAATTGTGCCTTTAAAACTTTGTAAATTTAAGTACATCTGAGATGTTGCTTCTTTTTACTTTTTCTACTTTTTCCTACCATTTTCTAGAAAAAAATTTTTTGTTTTGCATATCTCTTCCTGGGGGTGGGGGCAGGGAACTACAGCAAACTCATTTTTATGCAATATATTTTTCGGTGTCAAGTTTGGACTTTCGCTGTCACTTACCTGCTGTGTTTCGCTACTTTCTGACCAAGCAACGCTAACTTTTGTACAGATCAATTTGATAAAATTAAAAAATGCTTTTTATCTACGTGGGCTGCATTTTGTGTGTTGCTTTCCATAAGCGTGGGGGCTGTGGGTCTCCGAGACCATGGGGGTCCTGTTTTGAAGGAGTTTGGCCAAGGCAGGAGTGGGCTCTGTGAGGGTTAACCCCAGGCTCCCCGGGGGGAGGGGCCGGCTGGCCAGACCACCCTCCCTCTTGGGTGCTGCATCTGAATTTGAAAAGAATAGATCTCAGAAGCCTCCAGGAAGCGGGGGATGCATCTTCCTCCTGGTGTGTGTTGGGGGGGGGAACCTTCTCAGTAGGCAAAATGGGTCCAGATGGGCCAGATTTGGGCCGTGGTTTCCTCCCAGGCGAATCCCAGAGCTGGTTTCTGGGTGGCTGACGACATTTTTCGGGCACTGGCTCAGAGCCAGGCTGGGAGCTGGATAAAAGCTGCCCTGCAGGCCCCGGACAGGACTGTCTGGTTGGCAGAAAGGGTTTCTAGGAAGAAACGGTTGTGGGAGCAACAGCAAGCGAGGGGCAGCCTCGCTCCCCGGCTGGGCCTCCCCAGCACACGGGCCTGGAGGCACCCACCTCTGAGCTGTGCAGATGCATCTGGGGGTGAGAGGAAGATTATGCTTCTCAAGAGAACCCAGATACGCAAGGCAGTTAACCTATGCAATTTTAATGGATGGCCTGGGTATAGGGCCACGCACCCGTCCCCTCGCCTGCCCAGCCGCTCGCGTGGCTGCAATCCAGGGCGCGTCCCTCACCCCGCGCTGGGGAGCCACATCCAGGGCCTGCCAAGAGCAGCGTTTGGGAAGAGCTGCCCGGATTTATGAGGGTTCGTGAGACCAGTGTTTGCCAAGCTTCCCGGGTGAGGCGGGTCTGAGGTGGGGGGATGTAGACATCCAGGCTCACGGAGGCCCGCTGCCTTCACAGCCGGCCGCCTGCGAGGAGCCAACCCAGCCTGCCCTGCATCCAGCGAAGGGCTGTCCAGGTCCATATGGCCCTCTAAGCCCTCGCATTGACACCCCAAACCAAGGAAAGCCCCCAGCGTCCAGCTTGCTGACAGAGGGAGCAAGGCCTCCCCTTTGCTGTTCTGGGATCGCTCAGGCCTTGCCAGGTTCCCGAGGGCTGGAGGCTCTGCCAGTTTTGTTTGGAGTTGGAGGGGCTCCTGCGTATTAACTCCCCAGGTCCCGGTCTTTTCCCGCTGACCCACCCTGTGTGACAGCCCCCATGGCCCTGGGTTCTGGGCAGGGTTCCCATGGGTTTCCTACATCTGAGCTCGTGACGCTCCAGGGAAAGGAAGGACAGCCATGTGGTCCTGGCGCAACCACACCCTGCCTGGCCGAGGGCATGGAGACCCAGTGCCCTGCACCTTGTCCCTGCCCCTCCAGGGCCCCCTCCCGTCTTTGGGGCCTGGGCTGGTGGCTTCCCCGCTGGGAGCATTCTCAGGCAGACATCGCAGGCCGAGCCCACAGCCAAGGACCCTAGAAGTGGTGGGGTCTCTGTCTCCCCAAATGCTGGGTCCCTCAGTGACACTCTGAGAAGCCAGCTGGGGCGGCCCCCCGGGGGTCAGGGCTGCTGAGAGGGCTCCCTGGGCTACCCTGGTCCTCAGGCTGGTGAAGGATTTTTGAGGAAAGCCCAGCTGACGAGGTTACTCCCAAGGTCGGCCTCGCCCCGCCTCGCCCCAAGTCTAAGAGAGTGTCTGCTCAAGCTGGTCCGGAGTCCTGTTCTCATTTAGACTGTTCCATTGGCCCATCCCAGGGCCAGGCTGGCAGGAAAAGTTCCTCATTTTTCATTTCCTCATGCAGAACAGAGAGCATTGCCTCTCTGATCTCAGATGAACAGAGTGCCCTGTTCAGGGAGAAAGGGGAAATGGCATTTATGATCCAGCCCTGCTCTGATGTGTTGGAAAGGCCCCTTCTGGTTCACAATCACTCTTCCTGGGATGATATCGGCTTTCAGAAGTGGATTTTCTGTTTGGATGGGAGTTCATGGCCAGTGTGGCTGTCAGCTTCAGGGAATGCCCGTGTCCTCTGAGCAGCTGCCTGGGAGAGGCCCAAAGTCCTGCTCACCCGGCCGATCCCAAGGGTCAGATTCAGGACCCACCCAGCCTGCTGCAACTTTGGCCCACATTTAGGGGGACAGCACTCAGGATGGGCATCACAGACTTAGAGTCCTGGCCTGGTGTGGAACCAACTCTTTCCTCCCCAGTGTGTAGCTGGGGTCTCCAGTCCAGCCCAGGACAGAGGGCTCTAGGGTCTCTGTGGATGCCATCTCTGGCTGATCAGGTTTGCAGCGGCTGCGGTCCATGGCATCAGGTGGGGCTGGGAGGATGTGTTTCCAGGTGGTGACTCGATGGCCACCAGACACTAGGCAAGCCCTCACACCCTGTGTGGACAGCCTCCTTGGACACATTCCAACAGGCTTCATGGAAAACCTGTGCTGACCAGGACCTAGTCTGGAGGCCACAAAGCCCGTGATGCCAAATCCCCCAGTCTCACCCCAGAGCCAATGTAGACCCCAAGACAAGGGAGATGGGCTGTTCTGCCAGGCACTGGGGGTAAGGAATCATTCTCGAGGAAGGAGACTTGTAGCCGCACTCGGCCCCCAAACTCGGGCCCCCTGGCCCGGGCACTTCTCCTCCAGGAGGGAGCAGCTGTACAGATATCTCCAAGGATGGGGCTGCAGGAGGCTACAAAGGGGAAGTCAGGGAGGGAAGGAGCAAAAGAGGGAGATGCACATGGGGCTCCAGCCCCCCCTTCATGTGAGGAACGTCCTGGAGCAGAGAGTGGGGCCGAGGACTGGCCCTGAGAGCCCAGCACTGCCCACCCCTGGCTGCGTGCCTGGGCAACCAGGCTGTGAGAGGTGTCCTGTCTTCTGCTTCTTCAGGCTGGCTTTGGGATACCTGGCCTCCCTCTGGGAGGGAGGAAAGATGGAAAAGACCCCCTGACATACTGGGGGGACTCAGTGAGATTAGGACCTGCCCGCGATGGAGCGTTTGCACAGATACCTGAGAGAACTCTCGGTTCTATTATTACCACCTTCAATCACATGATGCTGCTTCTTGCTCATCTGCAGAATAAGGTGGATTTGCTGGTAAGAAAATTAAGTAAAAGTGAAATGGGCAGAGAATGTGCACTCAAAGGCCAGGGGCCTGGGATGCCCCCGTCCCAGCCTCTGCCTCTGGGACCCCTCCTGCTGCACCGAGGTGTCCTCCAAGCTTCCCTGCAGTAAGGCAGTCTGGGCCGGTGGATAGAAGCTCTGCCACTTTCCTGTCAACCCCTCTGTGCCTCAGTTTCCCCCCATGACCATGGGGTGATGATGGTCTCACCGAGGTGCCTTGAGGATTTACTTGGTGAGCCTGAGGCCAGCACTTGGACACATGGGACAGGAACCTTCCTGCCCCATCCTGCTGGCAGACTTGTCCCCGGACCCCTGGGGTCTTCCCTCCCCTCATCTCCCCCAGCCTCATAGTGACTTCCTCAGCTCAGCCCCAGAATGGCCGGTGGTGGAGGCCTGCACAGCCTTCCTGCTTCCCCTGCCCAGGCTGGGCTGTCCCCAGCAAGGTCCTGTGTGCAGCGGATACCTCGCCCCCGCCCCCCCAAGCTCTCCATAACCCCTGCCGTCCCCAGGGGGCTGGGGCCAGAATGCAGGGCTCGGTCTGCTGAGGCTGCTGCTGGGCCTTTCCAAGAGGTCCCTAACCGGGTCAGGTCGGCCCTGCTCGCTGGCTCCCTGGGCCAGGGTGCCACCCTCAGGACCCCGCAAAGGGTTAAGGTGCTGGAGGCCTGGCGGGAGTGCAGGCGGCTGAGCAGAGCAGCCGGGCTGGTGCAGGGCCAAGAGCGCCAGCGAAGGCGCTGCATTTTAATGAATCATTATTGCCGGGGAGGCCTTTGTCTTGCTTTATCCGGTGCACAATAAAAGAATTAATTAGACAGAAAATGGCAGGGCAAGGAACTGACAAGTCATTAAGGGCTGCTGAATGACCGATGAGATGCACGCCGGGGTGGATTTCGGCTCCGGAATGATAATGGCCGGACGGGTGCTTTGTATGCGCTACCAGCCGGCCTCTGGGCAGCATTGTGGGTGCTGCCGTTGTGGCGGGCAGGACGGGCCAGTACCGGCCTGACTCTCCAGAGGCCAAGCGGGCAGTGGGAATCGGCTGACAAAAACGATGTATTAATTTTTGTGTGCAGACACAGTGTAAATATTTGGATACAGAGGGGACTTTGGCGGGTGGGCATCCTGGCCCCTGGACTCTACTTCCTGGCTCAGGGGACAGAGGCCAGCAGTGGCTGTGC